ACACAGAAGGATATTATTGCCTTGGAGACTGATCTCCAGATTTCAAGAATCTAAGTTACAAAGGAAGATTAAAGCACTGGCTTCATCTGCCTTACAAAAGAGAAAATCTTAAATTGTTAAAACTATGAAATGTCCAGGATTCACAGGGATACATTTTTTCACAGTGAAAAAGGGCTATCCTTTTTAGCAAAAAGCTCTATGTAGTTTTAGTTTTTGTGAAAGATGCTGGATTTCACACACCTGAAGCTCAACTATTTCTTATCAGCACAACATGCATAGCATGGAGAGTAATGTTGGCCATGCAAACTTCCCCACACAGCTCTACCACAGTGCCCCAGACTTGACCTAGACAAACCAACTCTAAATATGAGTAGTTCCATCTTCATGTTCAATCTTCATGTTCAATGCTAGATCTCTCTTCTGAGACTTCCAACAGGATGTCAATTATCTTGGTGGTTTTTGTGACCCACTGGCAATTGGAATTGAAACAACCAAACTTTTTATACAGCCACCAGGTGATAGCAATGTTTGGTCGCCATTGCCCTTGGCTGTTTGTAAACTGGTTGTCTAGAAATGGGAAGGCTTTATATTTAATTGCAACACCCTGACCACAGACTCTAGAAGTTAGAAAACTGGGAATAAAAGACACTTGAACAAAAACAGTTAGCACAAAGATTAATAAGCATGTGACATAAATTACTGGGGATGTAAATGTAAAAGAACTCAAGACACTTTGTTTCACTTCTGAGGGAGGGCATGAATGAATATGATGAGAGGTGGAATTAAGATAAAATGCTGATTCACAATTCACTTTCCTAAATTTGCACTATGTTAAGAGTGTTTTGCATCAGACCTAACTGCTGACAAATACAAATTTAGGATGGCAGAATAAGATAACAGGAATCTAGTCAGGATTATAATATTTTGATAAGAATCTTAACAATAAAATCAAAAATCATTTTTACTCTGGACATAGAATTTTTAAAATAATCTTATCTTTGTTGTCTTGAGGGAATTTAGCTTTTGTTGGGGAAAAAGGCAAAAAGAAGGGAGTAAAAGAAGGGAAAACATGTCATATAACACCTGACAATACCTTCAAAAGATGACCCTGGAAGCTTAAATTCACACTTTTGCTAGATACTAAGGCTATTTTTCTACACTGGCACTTTGTTTGCTAAAACTTTTGTCACTCAGGTGTGAAAAAACACTCCCTTGAATGACAAAAGTTTTAGCGATGAAAAGCGCCGGGGTGGATGGTGCTTCGTCAACGGGAGAGAAACTACCGCCCCTCATTGGGGATGGTTTTATTTTGTCACTGGGAGAGCACCGTGGTAAAGTGCACAATGTAGACATAGCCTAAAAATCATGCACTTCATAGAGATACTGGTTTTATGTCTCTTTACAACAATGGGTAACCAACTAACGGTCCTTTGTCCTATGTCTTGCAGAGGTGCTAATGGCCCAGTTCATTTGAATGGTGCCTTGCAACATGTTAACTCCTATGCTTAACATTCTGTTCCACCTACCTCTGTGTAGGTCAACAGTTTGTCTCTGGATATGTCTATACTTAAAACGCTACAGCAGCACAGCACTTCAGTGTAGGCACTGAAGTAGGAGGGGTTCTTCCATTGGTGTATGTAATCCACCTCCCCGAAAGGTGGTAACTAGGTTAACGGAAGAATTCTTCCATTGACCTACTGTAGTCTACATGGGGAGTGATGTAGTTAAATGAACCTAATTATCTAGTGTAGACCTAGGTCTCTGTTTCTTCCACCAACAGAAGTCAGTCCAATAAAAGATATTATTTCACTCACCTTCTCTCTCACATGTCAGACAATCAAATGTCACTTCACCTTGAATGGTCTCTTGAAATATGTGCTAAACAATCTGCTCCACCTTGTCTCTGTAAATTCAAACACATTCTGAGAGGAGAACTGGATTTCTAGCTGGCCACGTGTCATGTTCTAACATGGAGGTTAAACAAAAGTCATACCAACACCAGACTAAGGCCTTGTATATACTTACATGCTTACACTGGCACAGCTATACCGATACAGCTGTGCTGCTGTCAGGGCTGGCTCCAGGTTTTTGGCCGCCCCAAGCAGCCAAAAAAAAAAAGCCGCGATCGCGATGGCAATTCGGCGGGAGGTCCTTCGTTCCAAGCCGGAGTGAGGGACTGTCCGCCGAATTGCCGCCAAAGAGCTCGACGTGCCGCCCCTCTCCGGAGTGGCCACCCCAAGCACCTGCTTGGCAAGCTGGTGCCTGGAGCCGGCCCTGGCTGCTGTGAGAGTGCTGTGTAGCTACATTATGCTGATGGGAGAGAACTCTCCCATCGACATAATAAAACCAGCTCAACGAGCGGCAGTAGCTATGTTGGCGGGAGAGCGTCTCCCGCTGACAGCGCTATGAACATGAGTGCTCAAGCCAGCAAAATCTGTATCACTCAGGGATCTGTTTTTTCACACTCCTGAGTGACAAAAGTTTTGCTGACATAAGTGCTAGTGTAGACATGGCCTAATTTATTTAGTGTTCTTTTTTTAGTACCCTGGGAAGAAAAGTAGAGGTATGACAAATGTTAGACTGTAGGCAAGCACCCCTTCTGAACCTTTGTGAGCTGCTCTTAAAGGGTGAGAAGGGGCCATTCAACTAGAAAATAAATAAATGTGTGATGATGAGTTCTATACAATATTTCCTTATTTTTGAGGATTTTATGACTGGGATGAGAGGAGAAATTTAAGTCAGTGGAAGAAATACTTACATTGTCCTTGAAGTTCAGGGAAAGAAAACACTAGCTGTACTCTCATGCATACAGTATATGCTCTGTAGCCTGTAGCACAAAATGTCAATTGGCTAACAGCAGGGAACACACCCATTAAGGAACCAGGGTAGCTTCAGCAGGCTTTTTTGCTAGCCAACGATTAAGTATAATTCATTGGAGGATTATCCATACTGGGACTAGGTGACAGATATGTACCTAAAAACAGTTGTGCAATGACTTAGAAACTATAATACTTCTAGCCACTTGCAAGAGTTTTTATTTTTAATTTCTTAGCAGTTACACTCCACCTAATCACACTGCAGATCAAACAAACTATAAAGTTGCAGTGTTTTATGTTCTATTTCAGGTATATTTATCACTGACTATAAGAACAAGGGCTTTGTTTTTGTTCAGCTGTTCGGGTAAATCTTCCTCCGAACATGAGACAAAACTCCTCCCTACAGAAAGAGGTTCTCAGTCCCATGAACATCAAAAAGTCAGCCTCCCCTCACCCAGTCACCATAAATACACCGCCACACCGAGCTGCACTCGGCAAAGGCTCTCCGGCACACTCTAGACACACACCCCTGTTCACTACACACCCTCACTCCACAGCCCCACAAACACACAGTAGGGACCTTCACACTGCAAACATGCACTTCCACACTGCACGTACATAGACTGTCCTTCCCCCCAGTTCTACCCATACTCACATGCCTCACTCCCCTGCACATCTTTCTCTTTCATTTCCTACAAAGGCTTCAAAGTTCTTCACCTCGCTGCCACTGCAAGGACTACAGCCTACAGTCGCAGGGAAGAGACTCGGGGCTCCCTACGTGTTTGGCAGGCTTCTTGCAGTGTGCGTGTGTGTAGTTTTTGCCACCGTCCCCGCTTCTCCCGGGGCTGCTGGGGTAGGACAAGCAGGCGGCGTGTTTATTTGTGCTGTCCAAAGTAGACAGCCAGCAGGGCATATTTCGCCTCTTCTCGGTGCTCCTTCACGCCTGCGCCACAACAACATCTGTTTGCATTGGAGCTCTGTAAAAGCTACAGGGTAACTAAATTGCGGCTGAAAGTGTTCCAGAGTCAATAAGCGAGAAACACAGAGAAAGTCTCCACCTTAACTCTGGCCTCTGGCTCTCCTTTGGGTAATTACGTAAATGTCAGCAGCCCCCCCCCCCCGTGCCCCCGTCGGCTGGTTATGCAATACCCAGCGCATATATCTACTGTACCACACACAGCTCCCATAGGGCGGGGGGAGTGTTAAGGGAGGAGGAAAGGGGGTTCAATTCAAGTCTGGTCCTGCCCTATTACTCCCCTAAGGGAGGCATCCATTGGCTGCACCCCGAGAGCGCTGAGCTCTGATTGGGGGCGGGCCGCTGCCCGTCACAGCAAAGGCTGGCATGAGGACTGTGCGTTGTGAGGAGTGTACAGGACTGACCTACTAACACAGATCCCTCTCCAACGGCGGCGGCGGTACCACCAGCAGACACATTCGCTCCCTCGCTGAGACAGAAGCTGCTCCACTCCCAGGACTGGTGCAAGGGGCTTCAGAGCCACTCACACCGAGTTCTCTCGTCCCGCTCCCCGTAGCGATCGGGAGAAGAACAGAGGCAAATGCCAGCGGTTTGCTGGAAGGATACAGCTTATTTCATTCTGCCAGTGGCGATTATGAAGGTATGGTAACACTGTAATGGCTTGTAGTCTACACTGGATCCTTCGGTGTGGTGCTCCCCTACCTTGGCTTACACACTTATCGGTGTGTGTATAAATCTCTCGATGGCTCCATGTAGCTGGATATAGACCCGTGTACGCTATATGTATGTGTGCGTGCGTGTATTTGTGTGTGTGTGTATATATATATATCTATATATATCTATATATATATATATATATATATATATAAAACTTTTGCTAGCATGTCAGTACTGGGACTCGCCACCTTAAGGTGGCCGCTTTGATTGCAGCGCCCTCTCGACAGCACGTAGACTTGGAGCTGCTGCTGCTGCTTGTTTGCTGGCTTTGGATACGTTGTTGTTGCATAATATGTCTCCTTGTTTGAGGAAAATTGATGTTTTCATAGAGAAAAGCGCCAGCGAGGTTTGATCTGACGCTGATCCCTCTCACTCTGGGTGGGGAAAGCGTATATTTGGGGGAGTGGGGAAATAGCTGATTAAAAATACTGGTTTTGCCTGCTAAAAGAAGGTTAGTTGAAGGAATAAACAGGAGAAGGAATTTAGAAAATGCTTGTTTAAATATTAACCTATTTTAGATTTAAAAAAAAACATACCTCAGACCCTTTTTGTCCTCTGACTGTGTAACAAGCCCGAGGGAAGGTTTGTGGGTCTTGTTCTTTCGCACATTGCATAATCTGTTCCCTGTGTACTGGCGAGCATTTGGATGTGATGTGTGTGCGTTGCGTGTGCAATACTTTTGATAATTTTGGTGCAGATTTAGGGAATTAGATCATTAAATGCACCAATTTTTTGTGTATTTCACACCAAATAAGGAGTTTTTATGCCGATTGTCAGTGACTGTCGGCGAGTTTACATTTTCACTTTGCGCTCAGGGATCTTGTTTTTATACACGGAAAAGAGTACATGTAGCATTCAGTTCTCTTATATTAATTTGTATTTGTCTGTGCCTTTTCCCTCACTTTGCTCACTGTTTTTCAGACACTGCAATACTGATCATTTAATAGTTCTTGGAAATGTTGCATTATGTAACCACAGAATTTGCTGGCAGTTAGGGTAGGAAGAGGGACCTAATTACGCGATTTTATAATCTCGATACAAAGAAACTAGGACAATCTCAGGCTAAAAAATGTCACTGTAACAGATTTTTTTAAAAGTGTGTTTAACAAGGAAAGTAGTCAAATGGTAAGTAGGGAGGTAACTCGTGGTTGCTGAATGTGGTATATACCCTTATAATGAAATTTGTGTTAATCTATATTTAGCCCTATCACATTTTAGCAATTGTGGCTTCATGTGCTATTTCGGTCTTTTCTCCAGAGCTGGGCAAATAGACGTTCAAGGCAATTTGGCTGAGTTTTTAACCCCACGTTTTGATAAGGCTGCATTTTAGGAAGGTATTTCTCCTAGACACTAAGCATTTTGCTAGGCATTGGCTTTAATTTAAAAAAATATTAAAGAGATTGATACAAATTTTATATCAAGCCAACAGCACCGAAGAAGCAAGATAGTCTGTCACCTCCCTTCATGATCGTAATGAACCCTGACGAAGTAAAACTCGGGGGAGGAGGGGTGAAGATGTAAAAGGGTATCCCATTCACATTAAATATTGGTGTTTTAGAATGTAACATGAGAAAAGCTGATGTAGGTTAGTATTACATTTTATATGAAACGAGTTTTTGATTATCCTCTGCCTGTGATCACAATAAAATGTACACAGAATAATGATGATGATGCTTAATGAACAAAATAAGAATATTTCCCTTATATGTTAAAAACAATTAATGGCCCCGATCCTGCATTCCTTGTGAAGCCAGAACTGCCACTGGTTTCAATGGCTGAAGCCGGGGATACAAAGTCGGGGGCAGGGTCTTTACATGTGCCCTTATTGAGAAGACCGGACTCCTTTCTTAGATGAATTAAGTAAGTAAGATAATTAAGGTCAAGTTCTTTCCAGGAACCGAACCTGGTTTTAGCAACGGCCCCCAGTTTACAGTGTTTATTGTTGTTGCACATTATTCCCTGCGGCCCATGTGGAGTCAATGTAGCTGGTGCATAGGTAGGCGGGTGGATGTGTATTTTGGGGGAGGGGGTGTAGGCTTAAGGGCCGTGGGCTTAGTCCATTGGGAGGGAGTGCTGGTGCAGGTCGGAGGACCTCCTACTGCTTGGCGGAGAGCAGCAGCCCCTTCCCCGGGTAGCTGTCTTACCCGGGGCGGGGCGGGGGGGGGGGGTTGCACAGGGAGGGGCCGCAGAACTAGGCGTTGGTTATTGTGACTGGGGAGGCGGATGGCGCTGCTGCTGCTCCGCATTCCTTTGTTCTGGAGCTGGGGGCGGATGGGAGGCAGCCCTGAGCCCCGGGGAGGGCGGGAGGAGGCGAGTGCGTGGGGAGGGAAGCCTGGGCTGAGCAGGAGCGTTAAGGAAAGCGGAGTAAATAAGGCAAGATAATAAATACTGGGTTGCTTTGTACTGACAGGGAGCGAGCGAGAGAAGAACAGGCACGGCAGTGGGAGGGATGCGTCTCCAGTCACGTAGTGTGTGTACTCGCTGTTCATTAACACGGAGCCGAAGGGGGGAGGGAAAGGAAGCGTCTCTCCTTCTGTGTTGAGAATGGAAATATGTTAAGCAATTCAGCCTGCTCCCACGTTCTCTCCTGCACCAACCGGAGCGCCCTGCTTCAGCAGCCTTTGTGCCTAGGCTTGGCAGCCACGCGTACAATATTGGGCTTTCTAGGGCGGCTCGCATAGTTTAATCGCCTGCTCATGTCTTTGAATTTTATACAGAGAGAGGATTTTACTTCTCTTGACGTTAGAGACAAGCACGCTACAGGTCAGGACTGTGCCCGCCCCCCCACACACTCTTGCAGTCCTGAGCCTGGTAATAACAATTAGAACTTCACTTGTTCCAAGCACTACACTATTAAGTAATTTATTCTTACAACACCTTGTGCTGCAGGTGAGACATTCGAATGCATCCTGTATTAAGATCCCCATTTTACAGAAGTGGAAACAGTCACAGCCATGCAAATTGATATTATTTAAGTGGGTTTATGCCTTTTGTTGAATTTGACTCAAAACAATGTGACAATGTATCTATTTGGAGCTATTGATAAATATGTTATGTTCAGAAAATATCCTGTGATTATTCCTTATCCTTTCAGCTTGAATTATTAAATTCAAGTATATTATCTCCAGTTATCTGTATATACAATCTATTTTGAATTTACCTTGCCTCGCTCAGTAATTCATGCAACACAAAGCCTACATTAAAATAATGCTAGGGGCATTATTCTTATTGTCCTCAGTCAAAACATTGACTTCAATAGGAATTTTCACTGAATAAGGTCTGCAGGTTTGTCCCAAGACATGATTTAAACCAGCAAAATCAAGGAACACTGTGTAATGCTCCTTCACATTATTGGCACTAGCAGAAACTACTATAAAAATTGTCACATTATAGATATCTTTATTTGACTGTTAATGTGTTAACATTTTTCAGAATGATCTGTCTTCACTTTCCATTTTTAGTTATCTTCTATTTTTAACTTGTCTTATTCTCTAAAGAATTGTTAACTAGCATTCAAAATATCCAGCTTCCTGGATTTGCCCTCAGAGCTTCACATTTCTGTTGGAATTGATTTTCTAAGGAAATGATTTAAAAGGTGTCAAAAAGTTTACAGACTTCCCAAAAGCAATATGAACTTACACGACCTCCCCACAGCTTATCTTAGCCTATGAAGAAACAGTATTTGCCATACTTTGGCTGAAAATTGTGGAACACGCGATATTGCTTTTGCTGATTATAGCATGAGTGTATAGTCAACCAAATCTATCAATCGCTGTTCTACTTGTTCAAGCACTTGTCTTTTTTTATTTCAAGATATCTTTTGCTCATTTTAAGCTGACTTACTTTAGCAAATGGTTATGCAAACAACATTTATGCAGTTTGTTTTTCCAGACAGCAACCCTGTTACCATATTTTTGTGAGCTGCAGTTATAACATCACTATGATGCAATAACTTGAACAATAAAATCCTTTGTTTGAGTCTTACTACACACAGTTAAGCAATGTGTTTGAGTCATCAGCTTAATAGATTCTTCCAGGTGACCTTGCCATGATAATTACAGCCAGTTATAAGATATAAATGTGCTTAGGATATGTAATAAAAAAGATGCAAATATATGCCCATATCCTGCGGTCCCTTCCCAAGCAAAATATCAATTGATTTAAATGTTAAACTATTTTTCAGAGTTAAAAACCCATTTAGTTAAACATTTTCATTGAAATATTTGTAATTTAAACTGATAGTGGTGGGGTGAGCTTTACTGTCAAAAATAAGAACTTGAAAAATGAAGACATATTGAATTTGATTCAAAATGTGATAGAAACAATGCCTTTGAAAACTCCTTCTTTGTTTCTCTATTTTTAAAAAAGTGTGCCTGAAATTTATTAGCGTTAGTATATTGTTTGATATCCTGTGTTTTTTCCTTCCTAACTTACACTTGAGTTGGTGCTTGTCCAAATTAGCATAACATAGGAATACTGAAAGACTTTGTAAATTCTGAGCGTTGATATTACATAAGAGATTTTCTTTTTGATTGGAAAGAAATACCTTTTTTTACAACTTTTTTTTAGTTTTCTCTGAAGTGAACTTACAGTATAAAAACAGAGACAATGATCTGTCTGTAGGAAAATTATATAATTTGATTATGGAGTAAAAATACTGTTATAATAAAACTAAGTTTTTTTTTTAGCAGATATTGTTTATTATTAACACATGCTTAGATTCTTCTTTTTTGTGTTTGTTGATAATATGTTTTGTCAAGGCAGCCCACACTCATCAGAGCATAGACTCTTCATTGTTTTAACAAGTTTAGGAAGAAATCACATCTCAATGGTAGTACATAGAAGATTAAATTGAATGTGCTTTTAAAGCTTTCACTCTTTGTCATTCTGTGCTGGAATATTTTCTGTTTTTTCTTTTTTCTTTTTGCATGTATCCTGTTTTAGTTACCATATCTTGCAGGGTTATCATACCGCTTTGACTCGGTTTTCTGTTCTGTTGCTGAGTTTGTTGCTGAGGGTTCCTGACTGAATGACCAAACTCAACCTCCCATGGAGTTTGCACCACAAGCAGTTCAATGTAGGCCCAGTCCTGCAACTGGCTTTGTGGGGATGGACCCACCCCTACATTTGCATGGAGCCCAAGCAAAGTCCATGGCTTTGTATGGACACAGTGGTCCATGCACGTGGATCATCTTGCAGGATTGGGGCCTACATATATTGCTATTTCTGTTTCATTTGTAGAGTGTGTTAGAAATTATTACACATGTTGTCTATTACATCATGATGTTTCACATTTTTGCACATCATTTCTTATGTCAGAGATACATGGCCAAATCCTCAGCTGACGTCCATTGACATAGTACCATTGCCTTCAATAGAACAACACTAGTTACTCCAGCTGAGGATCTGGCTCATATTTTGAATTGGTGAGAATACAATACAATTAATACATAAGAATGTTATTTGTTTTAGGTATAATAGAAACAACATTCCTTCATCATTTTTGTCTTGTGGCCTTTAATTGAGGGGAAAACAAAACAAAAGAATATTTTGAGTGTTTGAAATTAGCTAGGCTGTGATTTTGTTTTCGGAAACCTTTTAATATGAAAATAGTGGTCTCGTATAATCTAAAATGTTTATTAAGAAACAGCTAGTGAAATAGAAAAAAATCTTCCTGTTATATTCTTCATAACTTTAAGAATTATTTTTAGCTCAGTTTAATATTTTTTATAATAACCCATTAGAACCATAACAATGCCATTTGTTTCTTTACCTGAGTGTGTCTTCCTGTGCACCTTTACATTACCAGCTTGTCATTAAGTTTGCTCCTTAGTACTCTGAATTAATGACACATATTTTTCTAAAACAAAGCACTGAAGCATTTGTTTTGGAAAAATAATGAAAAAAAATCAATAGAGAATTACACAGGCTTTCCAAACAAATCGGAAGAAAATATAGGTCAAATGTGGGCTACTAACCTTGACTGATCTTTTGAGCAACAGCTATTTTTAACACACATTTAGTTCTCTCCAGATGATAATTTTATTTGCATAATTTGTGTTATTAACCTTTGAGAAGCAAACTATACTTTAATGAGTTAATCTATAATTATTAAGATAAACAGTAACAGAAGTGGTTCCTAACAGTGAAGGCCTTTCATAAGACTTCAACCTTCTGGGTACAGCTTCAAGTGTGACAATATGGAAGTACTATAATATTTCAATTGCCTTGATAAGCTTTACTGTATTTGTGCGACTGTGGAGAATCTAATAAATTAATGATTCTCTTACATTCACATTAAGTGTATCAAGTAGATTCCTCTTTTTATTACCTTTAAAAAAAGTAAAATAAAGAAGTTTTATCCAAAATGTTTCATCTTGTGTTTAAACATCATAATGACTATTACACTGGTCTATAATTTAATTGTGGATTGATCCTTCAGTCTTTAAACACTTAAGATGCTCATTGGTTTGAGAGAGGTGTCTTATGTGCACAGGATTAAAAATAGAAGATTATATCAGAATTCTAATCCTAATTTTATCATGTTTCCTCTGTAACCTTGAGTAGCCACTCAGTCATACCATGTAATCCTGTTCACCAGTGTGGTCCCAGAAAGGCTAAACTTCGTCTGATCTAAACTGCATGAGTTGGCTGACCCACAAACCTGCATTAGGGTTGGCATTCTGGATCCACTCAAGCCAGTGGCGAAACTCCCATTGATCCTGTGTGGAGCCAGATCTAAGGCCCTTCAAAATAAATGGGATTATTTTGAATGCCTTTAGTGGGGTTTGGCTCAGACCATAGGGGCCAGATCCTCAGCTGGGGTAAATTGTCATAGCTTCATTAACTTCAGTGTGTCA